TGCCTTTTTTCCATGAAATATAATTGGACTTTTAGGGGCATCGAAAGTCAATGAGAAAAATTTCTGCTACCCAAGTAGTCATTTTTTACAGAGTGTAGTTTTTGCATACAGCGGAAAGGAAGTTCATTCGAAAGCTGGCATCCTGAGGTAACCGAAATATTATGGAATTATGTTGCAGGCTGAATAGTTTTACAACTTTACTTCATTAATCTTTTTGAAACGAAAACGCATTTCGGAATTTCGGTTGACATTTCCTGGGTTAGTCCACCTACTGTAAGTAGGTTTAAGAAAACTATCAACTAACTACATGCTGCGTGCTAAATTGGGGATTGATAATTTAATGCATGGGTGGACAACAGCAGTATGTACGGACAGGCAGCATCAAATGCCCATGCCCAAAGTCTACTTAAGTCTACTTAAGTTTCATATTAACTCAGGAGTATGAACTTCTCATGTAGGAGAAAATCCGTAAATCGTCAAATTTGCATTATACCCAAAAATACGCCCCGGCGAACGACCCCGAATGCAAGACGGAAAATGTATTTCACTTGGCACTGGTCTTTGAGGAAGATTTTAATTTTCGTCTTAGAAGAAGAAACTTTTCGCGGAAACAATTACGTGGCGAATGCAACTCGCAATGAGCATCCAATTGGCCGAACGGCAAACGGCCTGCATCCGGCCTTGGTATGTTAGTTGGTCAGCCTAAGCAAGTAGAAAATGGACGTATTACTTAACCACTGTGAACCCATACCTTCGTGAAACAAAAGACTTGTGCGTCCATTCAACATTAAGCTAGCAAATCTGATCACGCCACCTGCAGGTGTTGATTTATTTGGATTTCACTTTACGTTGAACTCAATTTTTAGAGGCTCGAAATAATTCCAAATTCTTGTAATTTCCCAACACACACACGAGCGTAGTGCGATGAGCGGAAAATGGTGTCGCCACTGAGTAGAAATATGTTTATGCTGTCTACATTCCCTCATCTTCTTAATTCAGCAGATGAGCTAAGTGACCACAAAACTTACTTGGCTGAACAGAATCTCAAATTAGGTCCACACGTACCAACTTACGCTTTGATTGCCACAGCACCTACCACAGACTCAGCTACATGCCAGACAGGTCAACAGAAGGCAGGTTACTACGCGGGTGGATTTCTCAGACATAATTTCTAGTCAGGCCTAGCCTTCACTCACACCGTTTTCAAGAAATGCACCTGTAGATAGACGTCAATCAAAGGTATTTTCTTTTGTGAGCACACTGTCTAGCCAAGTACAGCACTTCGTTAGTAGTCTGCAGTAGGGGGCATAACCTGTGACACATTTGTTGATGCATTTGGCCGATTAAAGCCCTCAATATGGAACCGTTGAGGTAATTACCTCAAAACAAGACTGAGGATTACAGGACCGTTGTCGTGACAACGATCCTATGGGGGGCGGATATGTGGAAAGGTTTAGAAGGCCATGCAAAAAGCCTCAGCCACTTTCAACTCTGCCGCCTCCGAGGAATCCTGAAGATGAAGTGGCAGAAAAGGATCCCAGATAATGAAAAACTACAAAAAACGGGAGTCCTCTGTATCCGAACAGTGCTGAAGCAGATGCAATTGCAGTGAGGCAACAGCGTCGTGAGTATGGATGACGAGCGCCTGCCTAGCTGTCTGTTCCATGGTGACGTAGCTACGAGTGATCGCAGACAAGGCAGACATAAGCATCGCTACAAGGAGACCATGGAAATATCGCTCAACAATCGCAGATCATATCAGGGACCTGGGAAGACCTCGCTCAGGATCGGCGATCGTAAATCACTGATGTAAAGACTAAAGCAGTTATATCTAAGGCCAACCGACTAGCCGTTGTTAGACCAAAAGGAGAGACCCGCGAGACGCAAGTGTTGCGGACCAATAACTTAAGCACCCAACCACTGTCATTGTGTTCACACTGTCAACAGACATTCCTGACACGGATCGACCTCGTTGGGCATCTGTGGAACCACGTGCAATGTCGACTCGGCCAACCCTCATCTTTGCTCACAACACATCACCCGCTAATGCCGCCACTGGCAACAACAATGTGGACGCTGCTAGTGTACTGCGAAACATCACCATTGTATTTACAACCAAAACTCTCTACTCAGTTCTAGCCCGTCCTCATTCCAATTGCACCTTCTCATCACGTACAGGCCGGTTCGGTCACTGGCGGGTCCGTCGCACTGAGGCCGGCGAAGACAGACATACATCCGTCACGCACTCCTAGCACTCAGACACCATACGAGTTTAATTGGCCATATAGGTATCCATGACGGTGGAGTTCACAGCAATGTCGCCACGGCAAGCCAATCACCTGAACCCAACATCTCCTTCACCACCAGCACTACGAAATGCCCTGCCAACCCCAGCGTCATCACCACTACCAACATCGCCACATCGCCAGCTCCCTAGTCGGAATTCGATGTCGTCCTTGCTGCCAGCGCACATTTGCCTCACTCATCGACCTACTCGCAAACTTGCGAATTCATCGCACTGATACTGGCATACCAGTACTAACAACCCCTATTATACATCTGTCACAACTGTCTCACCTGCCCAGACTGCCCAACCATATCCCGATGTTTCATGGTCCTATTTGGTTATATGCACATTTATGAAAACCTGCGTAAACGCCGGTCATCTGATCGGGTAGCTTGATCATCGTGGTCAGTACTGTGCGCGTTTGTGTAAGAGTGTGTGTGTGTGTGTGTTTGTCCCAAAAACGGATGATGAGTTGGAGAAACACAGTGGTCAGATCGGCTTCCGGCAGGCGTTATTGGAAATGCGCACCCAATAACAGATGCCAACGCGTTGGGTGTGATGACAAGCCCAGTTGAGGGTCCACGCCGTATCAGCTTGGATCCATGACGCCCATCCACATTTCTTCCTCAGAACCCTGTTCGGTACACGTTGAGGAACAGGGGATGTGATGGAACACCTAGGTGTGGGTTTACGCCGTGCCAGTCCCCTGCGTGCTCTCCGCCTCCGATCTTCTTAGTTCTACCTTGACGCCCGATCCAGGTGGATGAGGAGATTGTGCGGAATACGCAGCAAAAGCCTGCCATGACTCTAGGATGGACTACGCGATAGATGATTTGAACAAACACATGGGCTAGATCCGAGTCCGGCGAGCGTTATTGGGAATGCGCACCCAATAGCAAACGCCAACATTTTGGGTGTGATGGCGCACCCAGTTGAGGGCTCACGCCGTACCAGATTGGAGCCGTGACGCCCATCCATTTTTCTTGTGTACGTGTATCGGTACACGTTGTGGAACAGGGTGTGTGGTGGTACACCTTGGTGTGGCTTTACACCGTGCAAGCCACCTGCGGCCTCTCCCGCCTCCGGTCTTCTTGGCTATGTCTTGGCACCGAATCCAGGTGGAGGAGGAAAGAGTGCTCTAGGTGCTGCGCAAGTATACTCCCGCTGTAAGCTAACTGGAACGCAAGTCACCGTGCCCGATTCACCACACTGGGGAGTGTACGGCGGACATCGTTGACAACGACAGTCGAACTGTCGTGTGTGGGATGGAGTGTGCTGGTTACCTGCACACAGGCCGTTGATCGCAGACGAACACCTCACGGTCAAAACAATCGAACAAACAACAACCCACGCCCCCATCACCTTCGCCAAATCCCACAGGCTGCTACAGTGAGTCCGAGTCCGCTCGAGAACTGGCGAACTGCAAGATGGACATAGCTGCTGTTAGCGAGGCCCGCTTCTTCAAACAGGACCAACTAGAGAAGGCGTGTGCTGGATGCAGCTTCTTCTTGGGCGTCCGCCAAAGGGCAGAGAGACGCAACGCTGACGTCGCCTTTGCCAATTAGAACGACAAAGTTGGATGCCTGCCGTCTCTGTTACAAGCATCAGCGACCTATTCAGGCAGCCTTTGGGGAGCCAAATACGCCACCATCGTTTGTGTAAACGCACCCATTGCAATGACCAGAACCAACGAGGCAAAAAACAAGTTCTTCGAGTACCTGCGCGCTCGTCACATGACTGTGCCGAAGGTGGACAAGCTGGTCGCTCATTGTGATTTCAGAGGAAGAAGCGATCGTTGGAACAAGGGCTTTATTCGCCTGACGCTTCGGATTCTCAATTGAACCCATCACCAGAGACAGTGGCAGAAACGAGTGACTCGTGCACAGGAAGTTACAGTATTTATAGGATGCAGTCGCTATGCTACCGCATACCTATAGTAATTAACCGCGCTCCCCTTTCATCAAGGATTGTTGCCCGCTGGTGCACTAATTCCTTGATGACTGGCATGCAAGTTGTTAATAGTTGAAATCTCATCACCCATGTTGGATGCTGGCGTAATGATTGCTCAGCCATCTGGCTCACCGGCTTGCGCACTCCCCGAGTGGTCCATTACTTTGACCAGCCGATGCCTCGCACGGAATATGAAGTGGGGATGTCGTTGCACTTGTTGATAGACTGAGGTCCCGTGAACCATGACTCAAGCAACTCGCGGCTCACGCGATGATCCCCTCTCCCGAGAATTTCGGCCTCATCGAACTTGAATGTGTGACCGGGTCTCGTTGAATGGGCCGGCCCTGGGAGTTGGCGTCATTTCTCCGCACCGCTGCCGCGTGTTCGGAAATTCGCGTCCGGAGCAGTTGCTTTGTTCGCAACTACATCAGATCCGATAAATGACTCCAGATGTTTCTGGCCGTAGCAGTGGGTCTTCCCCATCAGCCAGGTGCAGGAGAAATGCCAAGAAATGCGGACCCACCTCCACAGTCTCTTCGTGAACTTAATGAAAACCCCTGACATGGTGAATCGTAATGAACTATGGAAAATTACGCAGAAATCCAAGTCCTGGGCTTTTCACGTATACGGTACATCAGCCACACGACGGGTGTTAGCGCGCGTCACGCGCAACGGGGCTATTTTCAAGGCATTTGTAGTGATCATTAGAGAGAAGTAGGGCTGCGTACACGCCTCAACCCTTTTCAGTTTCAAGTTTTCTGCCATGCGGATGGGAGCCTACCGCGATGAACGCCCCGGGATCTTCATCGCCTACGGGAATCTTCTCAACAGCCAGCGCATGAAGGCCTTAGCGCCTCTCTCCACGCTTACTGTCATCGACCTGATCTCCTTGGATGAGTGTGTGCTCAATACCGTATCGGAAACTGAAATGCAACGGTGCATGGACCTCTTCTCAGCTGGGTGTGCCTACATCGGACTGACCGTCATCACGGACAAAACGGTGGTCATGCACCAACCGCCACCGAACGCTGCATACAGTGTTCTTCGCGTCCACTTCAACGGCACCCAACTGCAGACCATGGACAACTTTGTCCACTTAGGCAGCACACTCGCACGCTGCACCAAGACCAACGATGAAGTGGCCCACCGGATCTGCAAAACTCCGTACGGGATAGCTATGGCCTCAAGGTCAGCACCATCCTCGAAATGTGCAGAGATGTCATCGTGAAGTCGTTGCTGCATGCTGTTGTGACCAGGACGGTCTACAAGAGACAAGGGCGGAAACTCAGTCACTTCCATCTCAGTTGTCTTCGCCGAATACTCAAGTTAAGGTGGCAGCTCAGGATTCCGGACACAGATTTTCTGGAACGGACTGAAATCCTTAGCATTCAGCCCATACTGAGACAAATGTAACTACGATGGAGAGTCCATCACTTGAGGATAGATGATGAGCGCCAACCAAAAACTCTTCTACGAAGATGACTCCATGGCTGATCATCGACAAGGAAATCAAATCTGTCGCTACAAGGACACTTTGAAAAATTCCTCGAAGCGGCTGCAAATTAACTCAAAGCCTTAGGAAGACTTCCCACAGAACTGATTGGCCCGAAGAAGAGTGGTGAAGACTAGAACAGCAATCATTGAAGCCAACTGGATCGCCGCTGCCAAAGCCAAAAGGGGAGTTCGCAAGTCCTAGGCGCCCCTGACGTGCAGCATCGACGTCCAACCCCTCCCGACATGCTCACGATGTCAACAAACATTCCCCACACGGATCGGCCTTGCTGGATATCTCCGGACCCAGTGCACCAACCACCCGCCAATTCCGTCTTCTGCCTCCGCGTCTGCACCTCCTCCAACACCCACGACGTCCCTGATGACACCCACTCTCACCAACGCTGCTCCGAATCCCCGTACCCTGCCTCCCACGACCATAGCCACCTCCATCATCCCTTCCAAAACCTTCTCGGCGACGACCACCACTACTACCTCTGTTATCGACCGAAACGCTCTCACAACCCCGTCAACCACCACCCCCACCATCGCAATCAGCACCTTCAGCTATTTGGACTCGGTCTCACTTTGTTCTAATTGCAATCCCACATTGACCTGGTCAGTCACTTGTGAATCCATCACCCAGAGACTGGCGAACCAGTGTCTTGAGCACCAACACGCAGTTGCTGCATCCGCCTCCCCTGTCCACACTGTCCACGCACATTCATTCATAGAACGAGACTGTTTGGTTAAATGCGTGTAACGACCTTTGAAGTTTCCGCTGTATCGACGCACCTAGCACGTCTCACACATCCACCACTTCTGCCATCCCCAGTCCAATCAACTCCACATCACTCAATGCGCCCATCACTTGCAGCACAACCACCGAAACCGACTCTTCAGCTGCCGACCTATCCTGCCCACATTGTCACTGCACATTCATCCCATCTATCGGTCTGGCCAATCACTTGCGAATTCACCGCACAGAGACTAACTAACCAGTGCCTGGAGCACCAACATAGACTGGACGCCATAGCCTCAACTGCACACATTGCCAACGCATATTCACTCATCGCATGGACCTACTAGGTCACATGCGTCTCCAGGACAACCTGCTGTGGAACAGCGCAGGCTATACCACATCATCATCATCACATCTCTCCTCACCAGCACCTAAACCACACATGGCCACACCCAACACCACACAATGCAAGCATATCATTGGCACTTCCCGCATGAGTAGGTAGTATGTCTGTGGCGACTTCTCCATGTGACTCCTTTGCTGCATGCGTAATCCGAGCCTGAGAATATCACAGCGCGCTGAGCGTCGTGGCTTGGAGGGTTGCCAAAAGACGATGAAACTCAGACTTCGCAGCCAGTCCAGTGTGTGTCTGGCACTCTTATGCATGTGAGATGAATGCAAACCACCCCCCCCTTTGTGTGAAACCCTGGATCTTGTGTCTGGGACACCGGGTCGTACATGTGGGATGCGCAGACGAGATCACTAGCTATGTCAGCCACTGCGCCCATTCCCCGCAACAGGCAACTGACCGACTCGGACAGAGACTGAAGCCGAGGAATGGAGGTCGACGACTGAGCGCTTGTAGATATCACGATGCACTGAAGGCCGTGGCTTGGAAGGTTGCCAGCCGAGGGTATAAACTGAACACCACGGCCAGCCCAGTGTGTATTTGTTTGCAGTGGTAGAGTGGTGGACTAAAAGTCAGGCAGCTTCTTCTTATGGGCTCTGTGGCAATCCCACTCAGTAGGATTCGAGCCGCCTCTAGCCTTTTGTTGCATAAAATTCTGGACAAGTGTTTATTGTGGACCAGGGGGAAGTGCTGGTACACCTAGATGCAGGTTTACGTCGTGCCAGCCACCTGCTGCCTTCGGTACCCGTAAATCAGTAATGACACCGGGCTCAAGTGTGAGGGGAGGAGAGAGTGCGCAAGACTCCGTTCCTGCACTCACCCCGCTGGGGAACATGTGGTGGGCATAATCGAAATCGACGGTCGAATTGTCATGTGTGTGTGAGTGTGTGTGTGGGGTGTAGGGGTGTCCAGCGGTGGGTTCACGTGATGATCGTAGTGGTCGCTCACTTGCTTGCAGGTTAGACTACGCCTAGCGTCCATTTGCTGACACCCAACTCTCACTTGTGACTCCATGTAACTGGGCTCTGCTCAGTGGCCACACTCCGGGCAACCGCCTCGACCGGCGGGCTAAACCAGGTGAGGGCGGACACTCCCGGTGCGCGTTGTGCCGCGTGCACAGGGTATTGCGGACTCCGCTGGATGGTTGGTCAGATGGAAATCTGTGTCGGCACCGTCGTGACGAGGCTCCGTCTGGTACGCCACTGGTCAGCCGGTTGGTTGGAACTTCACATCGGCATCCTCGAGACGGGGCCCCGCCTTGTCCGCCGTTGGTCAGTCGGTGATGGGATGGATCTCCGCAACGACATCGCTGACACGCGTTCACCTACGCCGTCGGAGACCGCGGGCTTACGGCGAATTCGAGACGTTCTCAAATACCAACAGAAATTGTGACCCCATATTAGAGTTCAGCCGCGCCATAAGGGGACACAGGGGCAGCCCTATTCATGGGGAGCAATGCCTGCCTTCGGGAGGGCCTAGAAAAGCTGGCCTAAGCATTGCTGGGCATCACGTCGTCTGCAGGCGGACCGTGGTCGCAAACGCAAAACTCACGGTCGAAGCAATCAAAATCGAAACAATAACAATAACAACAATACTCTCGCTTCTCCTCAACTTACCTCTTCTCCCTCTTCCTTTGTCTATTCTTCTGCCTATTCTTCTCATTCGTCACCTTCTTCTCCACCTCCTTCCCGTCGCCCCACTCGCTTTCCCCAGACTGACAGGGTGAGCCCGCTCACTCTGGCAGCCTGGAATGTTCGTTCCCTTTTAGACAATCCGCGGAGCAACCGACCGGAAAGGAGGACAGCGTTAGTGGCACGAGAACTGGCGCGCTACAAGGTGGACATCGCCGCACTCAGCGAGACCCGATTC